GTCCTGCGCCCCACTGTGTCTCTGGTGACGCCTCTCACCACCCCTGCACACTGGCCTGTTCTGTATGCGTAAACAAATACATCTTTTTTTAAAAAAAAATCATGTTATAACATTAATAGTGGTAATAATAACAATGGCTATTATTATTAAAACAATACAATAGTAATTACTATTATTAGCATTATTTAGTGATGGTAACTGCCATGTAGTTCCTGCCAGCACCCGCGCGATGGCCAGCGTGGTTCTCCCCTCGCCGGCCGCGCCGCGCAGTGTGGCTGTGAGAGCGGGCGGCGGCGGGGCGCCTTGGGGGCCAGAGAGCGGGGGGGTTCGGCCGCGCTGCGTGTCGGCGTCGTCGCCTGGCCCAGGGGAACCGGTCCGGGTGGGGGAACGCGGCTCCATGGGGCTCCTGCGGTCCTCGACCCTGTAGTGAGAGGCAGGGGAGAGGTGGAGGGCGAGCGGCCTGCTGGAGAGACACAGCCACAGCGCAGCCCGCCCTGGAGCGGGGTGCTGTGCGCCCCCGCCGGTGAGGGAGCTCGGCGCCCCGGCCCTCCTGTGGCCACACCGCAGAGCTGCAGCGGGGTACAGGCTCCCAACAGCAGGGAGGCGGCCGAGGGTTGTGTCCACCGCTGGAGCCTTGCAACGGTGGGCCGAGGAAGGGCCTGGGCACTGGGCGGGCTGTGAAAGCCACCTCGGGAAGGCGGGCTTGGCAGGGAGCCCCAGCGGACCCCCAGCGGACCCCAGCGGACCCGGCGGCTGTGCCTGGGGCGAGGCAGTCAGTGTCTGAATCGGGGCCAGGGGTGAGGGTGCCCAGCTGAGAGGCAGGAGCAGGGCGGGACCCCCAGGAGGCCTGTCCTGACCGCAGATAGAAGGCAAAGGCGCCGGCTGAGAAGAGAGCATGGGCGGCCGCCTGGACGCCGCCCCCCACGCCGCAGCCCCCCACGCCGCCCTCGCCTGCTGACGCCCTCTCGCCGAGGAATACCTTGGAGGGGGGTGCAAGCCCCTAGTTCCCAGGCACAAGGTTCTCCTTCAGCCTGACGGGGCCCCGTGGCTCGTGTTTGGGGCCCAGCAGAGACCGAGGAAAGGTGGTGACAGGTTGCAGGTGGAAAAGGAGTGGCCAGAGAGGGAGCCCCGGGGGGTTGCAGGGACCGTCTGCCCCTGAGGATGGGCACATTGGCGCCCAGGGCCCTGCTGGGACCCTGCGTCTGCTCAAGCAGGGGCCGGTTCAGGTGGAAATCACACCCCCGACACGTAAGGGTGACGCTAGCTGACCAAGCGACGTCGGAGCCCGGCAGCTGCACCCTCGTCTGTCTCCTCGTCCCTCCACAGGGAGAGCTTGAGCACCAGAGGAAATCTTTGCAAAAGCCTCAGACCAGAAAGATAGGATGTGAATCAGAGCAACTGGACGGTGACGTAAAGGAAGCGAGTGGCGTCTTCTTGTAAGTCACTACAGGACCTCAGAGACCGCTGGCTGGAATACTTACTCAGTGTCCTGAGATTCGTGTCTCTTGCTGGTCATCAGTACATACTTACAGCACGCGCCCCCACTCCAGCCTCTCGCATTGCAAAGTGTTACGCTTGTCGAGACGCCCAGTCATCACTGGACAGAGGAGACAGAAGCAGATACCTGACCCCGGACTCACCTGCCCTGGCGGCAGCCTGGGAGGATCCCCCAAGGACCCTCCCATGAGAGGGACTTTTCTGCTCGCCCGAGCTCTGCGATTGGCCCGCGGGGATGTGGGTGGGGAGGTCTTCCTCCCCAGGTTGGAGTGACCTGCTGATTTACCGAAGGTGGTTCTCAGCCTTAACAGGAGGCTCGCATTGAAGCTACCTGGGCCTGAGCTCAGTGAGCCTCAGGGGAACGGGCCTTCGGCCGCAGGAAGCCGGCACTCTCCCAGGCCCCCAGGAATCGCTAAGGGGCTCGATTCCCGGACCACCTGGGTCACTGTCACGCTCAGCAGTGCTGACGTTTTGGGATGGAGGTGGTGTGGGGGCTCAGGCCATGCTGCCCAGGTGCTGGGGGCGTGTGTCAGCACCTCTGGCCTCCATCCACCAGGGGCCTGTAGCCCTTCCAGTTCTGATGGCCGAAATAGCCTCCCAGTAGTGTCAAATACTTCCTAGGGGCAAATTGCCCCTGATTGAGAACCACAGTTGCAATTAGCTGCCTCCCTCCATCCTGCCAGGTATATTGAAGTGCACTTGTGTTCTGTTAAATAAACAGTCTCTGTTAGTTAAATAGATGATGGGTAGATCATGACAGTCAATCTCGTCAGTTTGGAGTTGACGGTGTTCGTTTTTGTTGTTGTTGTTTAAATGTGTATCTGTGTGACTTGTGTTGTGTTGATTCTGATGTGTAGTAAGTTTTAGTCATTTTGCTTTTGAAAAAAAATTGAAAATCTGTGACTCCAGACTGAAAACAGTCGATAACTAGAAAAGAGGGATGAAAGAACTCAAGAAATTTGGAGGACATTTTGGAGAGGGATTTTTGTCTGTTTAGGTTTGGTGGGGTATTGTTTGATTTGGGGTTTCCCCTCTGACTCATTTAGCATCAAAATTACAGAGTTTGGGTGGGGGGAGAGAGAGATAAGTTTAAACTTATTTAACTTTGACTCTGGGGAGAAGTAGGAATAAAGCTTATGGGAAATAAAGCACCAAGATAAAAGTGACCATTTTTAAATCATGTTACGGGCCCTCCCTGGTGGCACAGCGGGTTGGGGCGCAGCACTGCAAACTAGCCGCAGCCGCTTCAGTCGAGTTCGATCCCCGCCCCGGAGGGGACCCACAGGGCGCGGCAGACTTCTGCTGACCGCCCGCTGCTCCCCTCAGCAGTGGGCTTTGCCGGTCTGAATCTGCCTGTCCTGCGCCCCACTGTGTCTCTGGTGACGCCTCTCACCACCCCTGCACACTGGCCTGTTCTGTATGCGTAAACAAATACATCTTTTTTTAAAAAAAAATCATGTTATAACATTAATAGTGGTAATAATAACAATGGCTATTATTATTAAAACAATACAATAGTAATTACTATTATTAGCATTATTTAGTGATGGTAACTGCCATGTAGTTCCTGTCCCCACTGCATCTTTTAGTTTTTTCAACTCTCAAACAAGGGAGCAGGTGCTCCTCCTGTCTGGGTTTCTTTGTCCCAAGCGGAGACAGCCTGGGTAGCCGCAGGTAAAAACAACAGGGGCACAGAAAGACTGAGCCAGCCGCAGCCCGTCGGTGGGTTCTCGCGTCCTCCGACAGAATGGGCGACAGTGTCCTGGGACTTGGGCGCTGCCAGTGTCCTGCAGGGGGCTGACCGCACATCCGCCAGCATCTCCTTGGCCTCCCTTGCCCATCACGGGCTCTGAGAGCTCTGCGAACGCTGGGTGACCCCTCCCCGAGTTTCCCTTTTCCTCCAACTCCCCGTGATCAGCATGTACAGACCTTCCAGAATGCTCTCTCTGAACCCTTTCTCAGATGCCGCCTGTCGTCTCTGTCATGTTTTACATTATAGCTTTTTGTAAAGGCAACTAGTACATACTTGGTGTTCGGAAGCCGCTTCCATCCATGTCTTTACCCCACTGACCCTGCTCCTGTCCAAGGGGCAGCTGTAGGTGACACAGTGTCACAGAGGCGTCACGTGTTCCAAAGCAACTGTCTATTAAATGTTAGACTGTGCTGCAAATCATTGCCGGAGGTCGCGACATACTTTCTCGTCAGTTTCTGATGAGCTGTGCTGTGAAATGGGGGTGTGGCGTGGGCAGCCGGTGCTTGCTGGGGCAGAGCAGGGGACGATGCCTGCCGTGGGTCCAGCTGCCTGGGCTGCACTGGCCGGTCCGCTTTGAGATGGTTAAGAACCGTCAAATGGAAGAGTCTGGTCAGACTTGGAGCAGCACCAGTCAGGGTGACATCGTGAGGCGAAACAATCGGGCTTAACGAGCAGGGATGTAAGTCAAGGCCGGTGGCTTGAGGTCCAGACTCATGAGTCTTCCCGGAGAGGCCGTGGCGGGCAGTCGTTGACAGACGTGTCCAGACCTCCTGGAAAGACGGCTGGAGGCCTCCCAGAACCTCGCCTTGAATTTCTGCTCCGAACTACAGCGTGACCAATGAAACGTTGGCAAGGGTGGGGTGAAGCATGTGCTCTTGTTCGCTCCCGAGAAAGAGTGGATTAGTACCTCTTCCGCAGAGAACTGTGACTTTAGAATTTTGATACTGCTTGAGACATCATTCTGTTTTGGGGAAATGACAGAAGGAAATGCTTTGAAATACAGATAAAGATCTTGATGTGTAAAGATGTTCACCAGCATTTTCTTTATAGGAACAAATAATTGAAAATGGAAAAAAAACTAGGGATTGGTTAAATAAATTATAGTATATACACAAATGAAATGTAGCAACTGATACAAAAATTCTGAAGTTTTTAATGATGTGAAAAACAGGTTGTGGTAAAATGTTAAATATGAAAGTAGAATTGAAATTCTAAAGATAATGCAATTCCACCACATACTAATGAAATATGTCTTTAACCTTTATGTGCCTGTAGAATAAAATGGAAAAAGCAGTATTGCATCGAGTGGACTATTATACAGTCGTGAACATATTTACGTTCTAGCTATAGCCAATGATGTGGACTAATCTTGCATACACATTGTAATGTGAAAGTCAAGCTATAAAATAAATATAATATGATTTGGTTTGTTCAAATTCTAAATACCAGATAAAATTAAAGTCATCTTTTAATGAGACATTTAGTGATACATACGTAGGTGATATAGTACAATGAAGACCAAGGAAATAATTTTAATGAAAGTCCTATCAGTGCTTCCTTATAAAATAAAAGATTATGCTGCTGTATTTCCTGCCCTGGTTCATGGGGGTTCACGCTCAAACTCTACAGTTAGACCATCGACCCTTACATACAGGTGTCGTAATTCACAGCGTAAAATACTGGGAATAAAATAAGCTAACCCATACACGTATTTATCTTTGGATGGAAAAGTCACCGTTGGATACTTCATTGTGGGGAACGTGCAGCCCCGGCCACGGTCAGGCCGCTCAGCTACGACACGTGGCCGCCGCGCCCGC